CCTGCTGAATCCCTCCTCATCCTGCCCTTCTTGTAATCTTTGCAGAAAGTCTGAACACTCAGCTAGAATGGATGGTCATATGCACACTGGCTAGCCACCAGTCTTCAGAGAAGCCAGACCTCCTGGCAACCACCTTGCTTCAAGGAAGTCAGGTTGTTCTTGGTTCTAACTTCCTTACAACAGGATCCAATACAGGAATTTTGAATCAAGGTAACAGGTCAAGAAAAAAACTGATAAGAAAGCAAAACTCATTTTTAGATTAGATAAAAAAGTAATGCTAAGTCAATCAAATTTTAAATCAAATTATTTCAGCTTCTAAAAGCCCTCTTGATTTTAAAAGCCCTATTTAATAATTGCTCACACGTATTTTTGACATGATGGAGAAAGGCCAACGTGGCTTGTGTGGGGGCTTTTAACAGATCTGAACAGATTCAGAACTGGAGGGAACAGGAAGTTTACACAATTACCTGAAGTATCCTGGCCAAAGGGAAACATTTTCCTTTTTTTGACAGCTACTGCATAGGATGTTTCTGCAGCCACATGACAAAGTGTACCATTATTGACACAGGATGCCACAGGCAGCACCAAGGAGAAGCAATTTATATTACAAATTTTAGATTAATCCATTTCATTTATAGTTCTCTGTGTGCTCTAGCCTGTGAGTTAATAAAGAGAGTGAAGAAGGAAAAACAAGTTCAGATTTTTTTCTCTTGCTCCTGTTTCTTATGAAATCCAACATCAGCTGCTTCCAGTTCAGGAAGAATAGACTAGGACTACTCAGGTAGGAAGCCTACCAACACCACCCACTCAAAAATAACGCAGATTTCAAGAGCTACTTGATTTGCTTGTACTTCAGGCTAGACTAGCAATGATTGCATATCACAGAATGATAACAATGCATTCAGGTGCCAATTATACATTAACATGTAATTACAGGTTTACAGACATATCCTTATCTAAAATATGAAGCAGGATTCAGCATTCAGTCTTAACTAGGTAGTTTTCCTTGCATTTTCCTTCTCCCTGTCTTTTCCTAAGCTACTATACACAACCAATATGCTGGAGAGCAGATATGCTCAAAATGCATCACTACTCTGAACATAGCAATCTATAATTCCTGTTAAGTGTTTTCAGGACTGGATTGACAGTCCCAGCACGGAAGATGTTATTCAAATTAAAGTGTTGGCATCAAGGTAAGCATTTTCCTGTGTTTTGAAGTGTCAGGAATAATTGGTTTAGAGAGTTAGCAGTAAAAATCCTGGTTCAGATACCCAAAACAGGAAGTTCTCCCAGGAAACAGCCTTCATTCTCACCAGCAGGAGTGAGGACGTATTCAGCACTCTTTTCCTCTAGCAAGGAAACAAAAGTTGACTGACTAAATGAGTGGTGGAGGGGAGAAGGGTTGAAAATTAGAGTGTGGAGAAGGCCTAAAGACAAACTTGACTGCACATCAATGTATACTTCAGTGGTCATCCCTCCCAAGACTATTTCAATGAATGTAAATCAGAGGACATAGAGAATGGCTACAAACACACTCCAGAGAGAGAGAACAACGACGCATCTAGTGCCTTGCTTCGGAAAAGCAAGGACTGAAAAAAGAAACGTAAAGGAGGACCAATGCCTAATGCACAAGAGGGAGGTTTCCAAGCACAGCTAGGGTTTAATCCAGCGCTGCTCCAGCCAGCCAGAGGGTTTTATGCTCTGTTAAAAAAAATCCACCTTTCGATGCACATAAAATCACAACCATTACATTGACACTCCTGACTCTCAGTCTACTAGTCATATTGATAGCCTTCCTAATCTCTAGGGATTTTACTGAGAAATGCTCAGTAGTTAACTTCAAGGTGAACAAGCAGAGGTTTTTCTGCACCAGCTGCCCCTTTGGGAAGCTCTGCTTTCATATACTACTTCTCAGCTGAAAAACACAGAGCAGAGCACACCATTTTCTACTCTGCAGGGTGATGCACAGTCAGACTGTCATCTTATTCCTCCTACTGAAGGGAGAGGTCTAAAGGCACATAAGCTTCCTGCACACTGAGCTGGTTAGGAACCCAGGTTCTGAATTATCTCAGACTTGGCTGGGCACCTGCTATTACAGAACAAGTTGCTAAAGCACAGGACTTCACTCACCTTTCCTCCCTGAATTACCCTGGCTTGATGGTTTATCAGTTACAGAACCTAAAGGGGAGGAAAAAGAAAAGCGTCATTTATTTAGATGCTGCACGATCATACAGAACATGTAATGTCATGTTAATACAGTCAATATTTCAACCCACAAAGTGTCCATTTTATTTGCCAACAACTCAGTTTCGGATTCAGAGAGCCTGCAGCTTCAACCAACTGAGATAGTGTAAGGAAGTTTTATGTTTTAAGATGTTAAATCAGGATGAGAGTAAAGAAGAAAACTTTAGTAGCTGAACCCAGTGATTTAAAAGAACTCAGAGTAGTATGCTAGTAAGAAACCTGGAATAAATCCAAGGGCAAGAGGAAAGATCAATAAGAGTCACTTCTCTCATTTGCAAATGTCAGGAAGAACAAATCAAAAACAGGTGGGGAGAGTGTGCAGGGAATGCAAGGGGCAGTATTCTAAAGGAAAAGGATTAAGTAGGACAATTTGCAGAAAATGGATTTCAACCAACCCCTGAACATCCCCAGCTGTTTGAAAAGGGACACTGAATAAGATCCAGCATGTACTTAAATAGAACACATCTTGGGTTTTTTAATATAACTTATATCTTCACATAATATGTGATTCTACACTTGTTTCTGCAGTTTGCTCTTGTACTTCACCACACAGTTTTCTACTAAAACTTGAACTGATGATACAAGCTGTTTGAACAAATCCATTACCAAAGTGTATAAAAAACTATGAAAAGCTTTTTTTTAATAGCTTTATTCCCAGGAAACTGATTCTTCTGTGCACCATTACTAAACAGTTCCAGTGATTACTGATCCTCCAGGAAACATGGATCAAAAAAGTTAGCTCCAAAGGAGGCAGCTCTGACCAGCCCAAGAGTCTGGTCAAGATAAACTCTAAATGTAAACGCTATTGCCCAAGCACTTTCACTTGCAGATCAGTTCATCCCAGATCTACTGCTGAATTACAAGTAGGAAGCACATACCCGCTATTAGTCATCATAGACCTAACGTGTGTGTCCTACAATACACCATGAATTTACTTTCCTGGTAACACAATTTTATAAACAGCTCAAGACTGAATGAACAGATCAGCAAAACTCAAACATACCCTACCAAAACCATACACTGATATTAACAGGATATTAATCTTATTTTCTTTCCACATATCTGTGAAACGCTAACCATCCCCTCAAGCTACATTGACTTGCTGGTTCCCAGACAATTCTCCCACTCAACTCAAATCCTCATGCAAGCCACTGTGTGCTTATTACCACAAAACACCCTACAGCCAAGAGGACACTGAATAAGGTGAGAAAGATCTTAAAAAAACAGAAGCTTGATTGCTGTCATGCTTGCATCTAATGGGCGAACACTGCAGGATAACATGAAAAACTAGAGCCCAATCTCATCCCATTATAAGCCATAGGCTATCATATTGAATGGTGGAGAGAAAAAAAAAATCACCACTCTGTTCTAAGTACAGAAAATGATGGATTTGGGCCCAATAAACCATAGGGCAACAGAGCAGTGTCAGGCTGAGAGCCCAGAAGCACATCACTTAAACCCATGACTAACAGCCTGGCTCTGGACCTCCTTCTTGTGACCTGTGGTATAAGCCCAGTGCTATCCAGCCCCATGACACAAACACGGAGATCCTGGAACTGAGCAACATGACCAGAAGACCCAAAACAGCAGGAGCCCAGACTTGGGGGCTAGTAGTCAACAATGTCCCGTTTCACACAGAACGACCTTATCAAGCTTTTAACTGAAGTCACTCTGCAGGCAAAATGACTCCATGGCCCATTCAACACAGCCCAAGAACCACTTCTTTAAACTACCACTCATGGAAAAAAGTTAGCCTATCTGTTAGGGGAATCTCTGGTTTTGGTGTACACAGCAACACTGACTCTTGCCCTGGCTACCACAGGCTGTTACATCGGTGGTTTTTCTCATGGAACTTTGCAGGAGTATCTGCACTCTAACTGCAGGGTAGACAGGCCACAGTTCAACTCCTTTGCAGCTTCCAAATGCCAACAAGCACACAGGAAGATACAAGCACAACCACAGTGTTAGATCAGGTACTGGCTAAGTCACCTGAAAAGATTAAGTGCTCTGAACAGGACACGTTCCTCCCAACCCCCTTCAGTTATCAAATTAGTATTTGTTGAAGCCACTCCCACAGTACCTGAACATACAGGAGTTTTGTTCTGTACAGAAGAGCCGCTAATAGGCTTGCCATCAGGTGTCACACACCAGCAGTATCCAGTGTAGGTATGGCACTGCACCTGTTTGATAAAACAAAGAGTAGGCATTTCATTTCTTATTCTATCACTCACCACTTTTATTATAATACAGCATCTTAGTGGAAGCCCCAATCCAGATGCATCACCAACACATCGTTCAGAGTGAGGAGGTCACACAGAAAAGTATCTTTGATATCATTATCTTTTCTTTCTTCCCTCACCACCCTTCCCAAAGAAAGGTTATTTCTCCTACTCTGGCTCCTTTAGCCACAATTCAGAAGACAAAAGATGTTATAAGTAATCAGTTGAGAACACTTCAGTTCAGGAATGCAGCAGTTGTCTCTCCCCTCATTCCACCCTCTGCTAAATCCCATTTACTATCTACCATTAAATAGTTGTCCCACTGCATCCCAGCTGGCATGAGGAACAGCCACCCTGGCCCAATTCCACAGCCACTGCTTGAGAACAGTATTCTGTGGGTGTTTCAAGAGTATTTTGTTCAGTAAACATGGCTGGAAAAATGTAATGCTGACTTATGTTAACAAACCCTCTCCAGATAGATTTAAGCTCTCTCCTGTTACTATGTCAACCTAGGCAGTAGGAGCAACATCCAACACGCTTACTCTTCATGTGTTGACAAGGACTTTAGAACATTTGACAAAGACGCTAATGAGCCAAAAGGTACACAGCATAAGATTCATCTTGCTTAACTTTAAAGCTCTACATCTGAACTGAACATTTAGATTTGCCTACTTCCTTCCTTCACCATGGAAAGACACCAGAATGACAAGTTCAGATGTGGACCTCTAAAGTGAGAACACATAAATCCAGATCTAGCAGAGGGGTCTTAGCAACACCTCTGCAGATATTAGTTCAGTGGCACTATAGTTTCATCTAGCTTAATAAATCTAATTACAGCCTTTGCCTCAACTTTCAACAGACCGATCAAGCATTTGGATGAAATTCAGGATGCCTTATGATTTCCCTTCAGTCACAAGTAAATGATCATCATACATCTGTAAATACTAACCTTTTCCAAAATTCTCTCTAGGATTCTAAAGACACTTGCAGTTGTGGTTGTGTGTGCACATCAGCACTTCCAACACCTTAAAATGGTATAGAAATGCCTACATTACTATAAGCTAGAGATGGCTTCTTCAATACATTTTTGGAAAAAAGCCATGAAACGAGATCACTTCAGAAACTGCCTTTTTATATTTTATTTGTATATTGAATTCTGTCCATTGTCTTTTTTTCCAAGCAAGTTCATTGAAGCCAATTTGCCATTCCAGTCTTTTCCATACAGAAGACTGATGGGGTGTTTGTGCTGTTCCCTTCATTAGAGATCATTCAGAACTAGAACAGTCATTCCCCCTTGCTGACAGCTGGCTCCAATTCCCTAAGGTAGAGGAGTTTGTTCAGTCTTAACAACAGCCTTTTTAAAAGGCTTTGAGTATCACATAAAACATGATCTAAGAGCAATTATAACACAGCACCACGTGTTTATCTTGGGTTTTACTGAAGTGCAAAGCAATCATTTTGCCTCAAGCAAACTCACTTTTAGCAGCCAAAAATCAACAATAATCTCATGTACCCATGTTACTAAAGTCACTGTCACTGCTATCTGCACTTTCTTTTTATTATCTCAATATATCACAAAATTGATTGCAAATTACTCAAAAGCACTATGAATATAAATAGCAATAATCAAGTTGCAAAATATTTCTTATTGCTTAATCTAATCAATTGCATCTTCAAGACAAGTGTGATGGAACTGCTTGGGTTTCTGTATTTAGTGTTTATCTTTGCGGATCACACACACTTCCCAACAGCACAAGAAGCTGCCTTTACATCTGAGCATTTATTGCAAAAATCTTACCCAGATATGAAGCCCCATTTCAGGATAAGGTCTTGAATTTGTAGGGCAAGATCATTCCATGTTACATAACAGAAAAAAAAAGCAGTGTACCCAGGATGTAAAAAATTCAAGTGTGAGTTGCTTAGTAGTCCTTCAGCCAAGCCTTCAGAAAATAACAAAGTAGATGATAGAGGAGTGAAAAAAAGTATTGACATAAGTTTAGGATAGATACACTAATTAAGAGCATATTATGCAACTCATCTCAATGGAGAACTACCAATTACATACGCTTATTTATGCAAGCCAAGCACATTACATCCATAAAAGTAAATAACTTAGATAATGAATGTTGATCTTCCTTAGACTGGTATTCCATGACCCTTTCTTCCCCTTGCCGCCATAAAAAAAACCACACAGAAATAAATCTCAGATTGACAGCACTTTCACAACAACCACATGTTCTACTGCAGCACCAAAGGACTTCCCTACTACGGACAACAGCAGCAATGAAATCTCAGCCCTTATCCTAAAGGCCATACAGCTACCCATGAAGAACAGACACTTCAGAAACACCAATAATCACTGCAGTTGGCTTTCCTGAATATCTTCATGTTGAGAGATGCTATCTTTCAACATGATATCTGACCAGGTCTCAGCATATTTAGGTGTCACAACAACAGTGGCCTACAGCCTAGAGTTTGCAGCTTAAAGGATGGGAAAAAACACTGGTATACTTTTCATCAGTTACATAGCACTGGTATGGCATTGAAAAAATATAAAGGCAATAGCTGATCCAGTACTATTTCTAAGCACTGTGTATAAACACAAACTCTGAAAAAGTGTCAACTATTCCAGAGCATCTTTAGTAAGGAATCTTGAAAAATTCAGGTTTTTACTTTAAATTATTCCAATGGGTTTCCAATGATCTTAAGTTTGAGTTTGTTTCTAAATCCCATTTAAACCTTCTACCTGAAATTCAACCTCATTCTAATCCTACTTCCATAGTAGTAAGATTTTTAAGTACTTTTACAATCAGAAGAGTAATAGTGTAAAAATGACATCTGTTTACTGCACAGATCCAATCACCAGTTATTGAGGTAATTTGGGCTTTACCAAAATACATGTTCGAAAAAGTATGTTTGACTTTTTTTGGCTCAGTCTTCTAAAACAAAGCGCTGTGTCAGAGAAAATGCATTATCAATTTTTCATACAAAACAAACTTGATTGCTAACCAAGCTGCAGCTACAGAACACTCCTTACTGCTGGAAAGGCACATGACAGACATAGTTTGACATCTCAAATTAACATACACTTGTCCAACAGCTGAACATTTTAAGTTATGTAACAGGGAATCAGAGAAACAAAACCTGCAAATCATTTGAAGTCTTCCATTAATATCTACACTTTCAAAAAAAAAATTCAAACTGCAGTTTAACGCCCTGCAAGCACCCAAATCCCTGATCGTGCAGGAGGACACTGTTCCTATTTTTCAGGGGTGAGAGATAGGCCATTTCAACTGTGCCTCAACTGAAGGATAAAGAGCGTGAGGGACAAACCCAACAAAAATTGCTGTGCCACCATTGCCCAAATTAAGAGTGACAAGCAGCTCCTCTATTCCCCCCTGCCATTACCATGTGTGAAATCAAATAGCAGCTAGCATACTAGCCACTGGCTGGATGAATAAACACCTGCTCTCATCAAGTTCATTACAATATGAAAACATTAAAACTATAGTCACTGGCAGACTCCTCTGCATCTTAATTTCCTGAGGGAAAAAGAAGCTGCTGTTTGGGTTTCTTCTGTATCTCACCAGCAATGCTAGAATCAGATTCCTGAGCAGTCCAAAGCTTCTCAACAAGCAAGAAGCAGCATCCCTTTATAGCAATTTGACAAAGCAGGATCAAGGAGTTGTTTCCGAAACATAAACTGGAAATGGGAGAGAAATTGCATGCACATGTATGAGGGAGAGAACAGGGGCAAAACAGTAATTCTGTGATGGCTGAAACCAGTCTCAATGGAGTTATAGAAAACAGAAGTTTGCTGTAAGAGGCTTGAGAGCACCCTGGACAAGCACGGGGCTGAGCACAGGAACAGCGACACTCACACTAGCCTTTCACTGCTATTCAGGTGAAGAGTTTGGTAACCAGTTCCTACCCCATCACAGATCAGACATTTCCTGGCTCCTTCCATAACGGAGGGCTGAGAGGACAAGAGAAGAAAAACATTCCTTCTACATTCAAAGCAGTATGTCTATGAGAGAAGGAAAAACCACATCCCGCGCTGCTGAGGGTGAGGGCAGGCAGTAGAGCTACTGCCCGCACTCACGACATGAGGCAAGGCTCCAAACCCTGGCTGCATGCAGGTGCTCTTTGTAAACACTGTACAAACAGACAAATAATTTCTTCCAAGCCAGTAGGTCATTGCCAAAACCAGGACAGTCATCTGGTCTGACTCAGTGAGCATAAGCTACAGTGTCACACAGCAATTCTTTAATCAAGCCTTTCCTTTGTTCAAGCCATCAAGGCTCAGCTAGAAAAGTCCTCTGAACCCGAGTTAGTGGTGCAATCGGCACACCGGCCTGATGACTATTTGCCCTAAGTGGTGATGCCTCTGTTCTGGTTTAAATGTCTTGCTGTACTGCTCAGATCCTGGATCTTGCCATACTTTCTGCTAGACTAAGTCAGCTGACCATTGTCAGAAGCCTGCCTTGCATTTACAGACAATTTTAGAGCTATGAATCAGTCTGTATCTTAAGTTTGAGCTTCTTTGGGACTGCAACCCCTTAAATAATTTTTGTCACTTTTTATGTTCCCTGCTCACATTTAATTCTTCTTAAATGATGTTGTGCAGGTAAATATTCCCACCAGGGCTTTATGCAGCAGCTGCCTCCCTCAAGTCTATGCACCATTCAAGAAATGCTTGCTCCACAGGAATTTGACTATTCATATAACCAGGGAAAGAAGTGATTTGTAGCAAAACAATCTTAGCCTTGGTCAAGGGCATTCCCAACACGTACTCTGGCACAGATACCATTTTTTGCTCAGGAGAGAGATTCCCAATAGGGGTTCTCTATTTCTGACACAGAATGTGACTCTTAGATTGTCATCTTCCTTAAGGATGTCAACTGCTGCTTTAAGAATTTGTTTGTTTGCTCTCTTGACTGGTACTTTGAAGAAATGCTGTA